CCCAGTGCCAATCCAATATAACTCCAACGATTATCCAATACTGAAACATTTCATTGAAAATAAATGTACGATAAAAATCCAAAAGACTGACCACTACAAGTCTACTTTACTGTTCAAAGGTTTGGGGTTGTTTAGATTTGTATGTCTTTAAAGAAGTAATTGTTTTCTATTTGAATACATTTTCAAATCTAATTTATTCCTGTGATCAAAGCTGATTTTCAGCATCATTATTCCAGTCTTCAGTGTCACATGATCCTTCAGAAATCATTCTAATATCAAGAAACATTTCTTATGGTTAATGTTGAAAACAGTTGTGCGGCTTAATATTGTGGTAAAAATTTGACTTTTTCAGCATACTTTGATGAACAGAAGGTGTAAAAGAACAGTCTTTGCTGTCACTTTTGAAAATTTTAAAGGATTAGTTCACTTCAAGAATGAACATTTCCTGACAATTTACTCACCCCCATTTCATCCAAGATGTTCATGTCTTTCTGTCTTCAGTAGCAAAGAAATTAAGGTTTTTGAGGAAAACATTCCAGGATTTTTCTCCATATAATGGACTTCAATGGTGGCCAACGGGCTGAAGGTCCAAATCGCAGTTTCAGTGCAGCTTCAAAGAGCTCTACACGATCCCAGCCGAGGAATAAAGGTCTTATCTAGCGAAACGATCTGTCATTTTCTCAAAAAAAAAAATAAAATACTAATCCTTTAATAGAAGTCGGACTGAAAGCGCACTCTGCAGTGATCAAGCTTCCCATCAGCAGAAAGAATCAAAAGGCTAGGCTCACTTTTGCTGGCGAGCATGTTGTGTGGAGAGAGGAGAACTGGTCCAAAGTTCACTTTAGTGATGAGAGCAAGTTTAATTTATGTGGGTCTGATGGGAAACATTTTGTTTGGCATCAAACTGGGGAAAGACTGAACCCCTAGAGCGTAAAGAAGTCAGTGAAAGGTGGAGGAGGAAGTGTCATGGTTTGGGGGATGTTTTCTGCAGCAGGAGTTGAGCTTCTTATACAGATACATGGAAGGTGAATGCAAATGTTTATCAGAACTTCCTTCAGCAACATACAGTTCCTTCTCTACTGGCATCTCCCAATCAGCCAGCAATTTTCCTTCAAGACAATGCTCCCCATCACAAAACAGGTCAATCAGTTCCTTGAAGCTAAGATTGAAATTAAATAATGAAATGGCTGGGCCAGAGATCTAAACGCAACTGAAAATCTCTGGAAAATCAACAAAGTTATGGCTAAGAAAGCCACCACAGTTACTGAACTATGAAGAAGAGTGGACCAAGATCACACCAGCGCAGAGTGAGAAACTAGAGATGTGCTGAAGTCATTCAAAGCAGGGGCCTCTACACTTCCTACTCATTTCTGACAGCTCTAACCCTCCAAAATATTAGTTGTAATCTTCTTTCGTGCTACAGTGGTTACTATTCTCTCGATCACTGTGTTTTCCACAAAATAAAGGCTTTTGTTGAAACGCCTTGGCTATTTTGTCAAACATGTTAGTATAACCGTGGTATACCCACAGCTAATATTATTTATAGATTGTTCTCTAATTTTGATCTTCACTGTACGTTCTCATTCAGCCCATCTGCTGTTTTTGTTTTGTGCAGGTATGCTTTATGTATACAATCTAATTGAAATTAGAAACTGTTCATGCTGCATGTATGGAGCATCTTTGTTTGGATCGATATTAAAATGCAGTGGTTGCCTCTACTTTTAAATGGCTACGGTTAGTTTGACCTGTAATTGAGAAAATAAACATCTTATTAATTTACATTCTTACTTGTCTATTGCATAAAAAATGTAAAATAAATACTTAAATAAAATCATCAATTGGTATCAGAATAGGCCCATTTGCTTGTAAAAAAATGGTCATCAAAATCAGCCATGAAAAATCAAGATTTGTGCATCACTAAATTTAAGAATGTTTGAAATTCAGACATAAATATTATTTTAATATTATTTCAATGTAATAAAATTATTTTTATTCAATACTGATGTATAATTTTACAGTACAATAGTATTATTGTAATATATTTCTTATTATTTAATAATCACAGTAAAAAAAATAATATTTTACAGTCATACTGAATGGGTCAAAAACAGTGGGAATGTGGTCTATGAAAACTCACATGGAAAAATTGTAGAAAAAAATGTATTCTGTTCTGTGAACACCCTATTTTTCTTTTTTAAGTACATTTTCCCAAATTCCAAAACCAACCATTAAAGAATGATTCATGCTAAAATCAAAGTCTTCAGAGTAAAACATCCTTTTTGACTTTTTAAAATTATTTTTATTTTCTATGCAAATGCACTCCCTGACAAAATCGCCCTAATAATTCCAGAATGTTTAATTTGGCGAAAAGTAACGTATTTTTTATACCGCATTATATATTGCAGAAAAACAAACCCTTTGGATGATACTAGTAAAATTCTTTAATTTAAATAGCTAGATAGCTGAGTTAATGTCAGTTTTTCATGCATTACTCTTATTTGTGTTGTATGTATAATTAGTTTTATTTTTATAAAGCTATGCAGTTTCTGTGTGAATGATCAGTGATGGAATTGGCTGTGATGCAAGGGGCGCCAGCTAAAATCTTGCCTAGGGCACCAAATTGGTCAGGGCCGGCCCTAAGGCACAAAGTTTCAAAACTTCCCCCACTCTGTCCTTCTTTGGTGGAACAAGCTGCCAGCCTCCACCCGATCTGCTGAGACCATCACAACCTTCACGACCCAGCTGAAGATCCACCTCTTCTGCAAGCACTTCCACTAATGCACAACCATAAACAAAGGCAAAACTTAATTTCCTTTATTTCACTTCTGCTTTTGCTTGTATGCTAATCTTTGATTGTGTTTTATTCATATTTTTTAGCTCTAGACAAATTGTTCGGATAAAAGTGTCTGCTAAATTAATAAATGCAAATTCTCTCTCATGCTGTTTTCTTTGTAATCTCATATCATCTGATGTTACAGTTGCTGTGAACCTTTTTAGCTATATCTCTGCGTATCCATTTTTTGTAATAATTTGTTATTCCCACTAATAAAAGCAGGTAGCCTACTGCAGCTCTGGATCCCTGCCATCTTCCTTATCGTATCCCAAATGATATTGCTGATATCTAATTGCTCTCAAATATCACAAAAATGCCTGCAATGAGTACTTTTAGAAGCCCATATTACTTAACAGCGGCCCGCACTCTTTAATGAAGGCTAATCAACAAATAGCCTAAATAAGACTTTCTCCCCTGATTCCTAATTCAATTGCATTCATTTGTGCACAGCTTTCTTTCTTTCTTCTTTCAAAGTCTCAGATTTCAAATTATGTCCATTTTATTACAATATTCAAACAATAAATACTGTTTTGCCCGTTTAATGTGATGTGACTGATGTTTACTTAGCTGTCTAAATGGGGACATTCCATAGGCGTAATGGTTTTTAAACTGTACAACAAATCAGTTAATTTTAACCTTCAATATTATAGTAATGTACCGACTGAGTATATATATTTTACAGCATTAGTTGAGATTTTTTTTTCTTGAGAATCCAGAATAATCGATATCGAATCAAATCAGAATCAAATCAAATCTTAAGCTTGTGAATCAAAATCAAATCGAATCATGAAATTTGTGTAAATTCCCAGCCCTAATTATTAAAATCCTTATTATAATCCTATTATAATCCTTCAATTATTAACATCATAGTGTTTCTTTGTCTTTCTTTTATTTCAGATTAGTGGAAAGAAAACATTCAAAATACATTTTTAAGTGTTTATTTTATTGCACTTTATATATTTGTGTCTGTAGATTTTGTTTTCTCAAAATGAGTTTTTTTTCTCATGGTCTGAGCCAGAAATGTCCACTTCAACACCACTTACTGTACATGCACCAAACTTTACAGTTTTATTCCAATCTATACATACAACTTCCCCAGTTGATAGATAACATTAAGAATTGCAAATATTTTTTGACAAGTTTTCTGAAATGTTTAAATTTCAACAAGGCAAAATGCACTGTCTAATTAAATATGCACTAATTTGCATACATCTCCATTTATCAATCCATAAGTCTGAAAATACTGTCAACAGAACAGTACATTTTCATTATATTTTAGGAATAATATGTTGCATAAAATAAGGCGAATATAATACAAATATATAAAAACATATATAGTGATATCTATTAGTTAATTTTACCTTATTCACATGGGGTGTCTTGCCTTAACTTTCTTAATTAAGCCAATTTAAAATGACATCTGGGACTTTGTATACAGATATTACAGCTAATGGGGAAATGATCACTAACCACGGTCTTCCAAAACATTGAAAAATTACATTCCCTAAATAAACTGCAGAATAATACCTTTAAGATTCATTCCCTTTTGTAGCTCTACTATCATTAATGCATATATATATATATATATATATATATATATCATTCCAGACTAACATTTCTTTTGTGTTTTTATTCTGATCAGCAATATTTACTGTCCATTAATGTAATGTGTGCTTTGAAATCACCCCATCAATATTTATTTGCCCACACCCTTAATTTCACCCTTTAATAGGCTACATTAATAGATAATTATCAGTAGAAGTTTTTTCTTTACTTTAGCTCATCAAATTAATTTAACCAATTTTCAGTTACATGAGATTAAACTTTTTTTTTTTTGAAGTCAGTTTAATGTAATTTAAAATAGCCAAACTTAACTGGGTAACCACTGAAACTTGCTTTGTGAGAAAGACCTCCAGTTTGTTTTTGGCTAAATGCAGCGCTGAAATCATCCGGTAAACATGCATATATTAGTGTCTTGAATTTTTGCTACATAACTTGTTAATCTAAACAAGTGCAAATAATGCTTCATTAAAATCCATCTTACATCCGATGTGCGAAAAGAAACGATTTATGACAAAAGCAACGTTGCTTTCTTAGTGGGCACAAGGTTCAAAAGTCTGGAGAGGAAGTTAAAATGCATGAGGTTTTAGTAAATGGTGTCATCACACCTAAGCCAGTTTTCCTGTAGTGTTTCAGACTAGCAGAAGACCGTTTTTACCAGCCAAAAGTCACAAAGACAAACAGAAGGATGCTCTGTATCGCTCTCCTCATTGCCGTACTGCCCTGTACGGCCAAAGGTAAGTCAATTCTGATCTCCGTACTAACTTTTTTGGATAGATGTGTACAATTAGACCTCCTCTCCTCAATTGCATTTGACATCTTCTGCAAGAAATCAAATCATAGCCGAGGACTCACCCTGACACCCTTAATCGCCAAAAGGCATTAGCCTGCAAAGAATAGATTTTTGATGTCCAGTTGTGAAAGGCAAAAAGAAATCGAGGATTTTTAACTTGTATATTTTTAAAACTTGCCTTTATACCTTTATTTATAAAATCAACTCAACTGAAGTCAAATATCTCTCTCTCAATATATGCAACTGACAAATTCTAGTTCTATATATTGTAATTCTATTATTGTTCCAATAATTCCAAGCACTACAGTTTTTCGTATTTGTTTTATTTCATGGTTTTTGCAAAGAGATCAACAGTTTTTGTTTCATAAATTTTTTTTATTTTAAATCTAATTAATTCATACATATTAATTCAATTAATTAAGATCCATATAAAGATTTTGATTCTAATTTAAAACCCTCCTTCCCATAGCAATATAACACATAATTTGATAACACTTTATTTTGATAGCCTCCTTTAGACATTCTGTTGATTGTAAGTAACTTTGCAAAGTAACTGTCAACTAGAGGATTAGTAGATTGTCTGCTTAATATCTGCTCACACTTTATTTTGAAGGTATTTTGCAAGTACATGTCAACTTAATCTACTAACCCTAACTCATCAGTCTACTAGAACTCTAATGTTAACATGTAGTTGTAAAGTTAGAAGAATTTCTGAAGTGGACTATCGAATTAAAGTGTAACCCATTATTTTTATGCTGTCTCTTTTTTGTTTATCGTTAGTAGGTATATTCTTTTCAGTTCTGGTCTTCAAATGAGCGTTCAGCAACAATAATCAGGTTGTGCATTAACTACATGTAAATTTCGTATCACGTCGTGTAAGAAGAGCACGAACCCAACTGTGTGCATGGGAAATCAAGTGTTTTTAAGACAGGTGTGTTATATTTGTGGCTTTGATGGCTGACTTTGTAACAGTCCTGTCTAGCTTTGGTGTGTCCTGTCCAAAACAAAGCAGAAGTGAAAGTGGGAATGGGAAACAGACCCCTGGGATGTGGCTGTGCAATGGGCCACCGGTGCAATGTGTTTCCTGAGGGACCCAATCAAAGGGGCTGCTTCTACAGTGTTTCAGACATTTCCCCCCTTCATATAAAGCCATTTCATGGCTTTCTCTCATTTCCCCTTTCTAAAGTTAAAAATAATGTTTGGGCCCCTTCTTCAAAAAAAGTGACAAGACCCTGTGTTGTTGCAAAAACAGCGATCCAAACTCTCGCAATATCCGCTATTTCACACTTCATGCTGGAAACAGACTTACATTTTGCACAATCCATATCCATACATTTCACTTTTAGTGCTGTCCACCTCAGTTCAACATGTTATTGATGCATAATATCCATGGACTGTGTTTAATCAACATCAAGACTCTAATAAAACGTGTATGCATGTATGCATCTTAGTCCCTGCACATCTTCTTAAAGAGACAGGTCATCAAAATATGATAATTCTGTCATCATCATGTTATTCCAAAACCGTAGGACGCTCTTCCTTTTGTGGAGCAGAACATTACCAATGTTAAGCAGAATGACAGTCTCAATCAGCAGTAACCTCCATTCTAATGGAAAAAAAATATCAAATGAAAGTGCAGCAGCTCCTTTTGTGTTTCTGTGAGGAAAGAAACTCATACAGGTTTGGAACAACATGGGGGTGAGTAAATGATGACCACATTTTCATTATTGGGTGAACTATGCCTTTAATCATTATTTTTGTTTTGAGAAGCAAAACTGTGTAACAAAAATACCTATTTTCCCTTTTTTTTTTTTTTTTTGCTGTTCAGTATTTATTTTGCATCATTTTTAACCATCGTTTTGCCTGGATTATTTCAATTGTCCTGCAGTGTAAATATTTAAAGGCACACACATTCTATGTAGTCTCTCAATTAAAGGAATAGTTCACCCAAACATAAAATTTACTCACCCTCAGGCCATCCAAGATGTAGATGAGTTTGTTTCTTCATGGCAACAGATTTGGAGAAATGCAGCATTGCGTCACTGTCTCACCAATGGATGTGAATGGGTGCCGTCAGAATGAGAGTCCAAACAGCTGATAAAAACATCACAATAATCCACGAGTAATCCACAGCACTCCAGTCCATCAGTTAATGATTTGTGAAGCCATAATCCATAATATCGCTTTCTCCAGTGATAAAGTCATCTTGTCTGAATCAGGAGAGAAATATACACAGATCAAGCACCGTTTAAAAACAGTCCAAAACAGCTCTAAACAAATATGTGTGTGGATTTTGATGTGAGAGACAACAGAAGATGGACTTTTTCACTGGAGTAGACGTTGTTATGGATCATGGACTCATATTTTAGCCGGAAGCAAAGGTTTAAAGTAAAAAAAAAAAAACGTTTTAATGATGGATTTGTTTCTTGCAACAGAATTTTGTGAAATGATGGACTGGAGTGGTGTGGATTACTTGTGGATTATTGTGATGTTTTTATCAGCTGTTTGGACTCTCATTTTGACGGCACCCATTCGCTGCAGAGCATCCAGTGGTGAGCAAGTTGTGATGCTACATTTCTCCAGTTCTGTTCCCATGAAGAAACAAACTCATCTACATCTTGGATGGCCTCAGGATGGCCATTTTTGTTTGAACTGCTCCTTAAATATGAGGTCATTAAAACTACACGCATAATAATGCTGTTCAGAATAGTTTGAGATGGAGTGTACAATGTCACGCCACCGAACAGAAATGCATTCCCAAAAGTATTTAATGTCAACTACCATACAATTTCATAAACTTCATACAGCAGGGCTCTTCAAATCCGGTCCTGGAGGGCCACTGTCTTCAGAGTTTAGCTCAAACCCTGATCAAACTCACCTACCTGTAACTCTGAAGACCCTGGTTATGTTGCTCAGGTGTCTGTGATTAGGATTGGAGTTAAACTCAGCCAGCAGTGGCCCTGCAGGGTTGGTTTTTGAGGAACCCTGACGTACAGTAATATAACTTGTTTGAGGGGAAATTTTGAAGCCTGCTATATGTGTGCTCCCTTTAGCAAATGAAGAACTTATCAGCCCATATGATATGACAATGAGTCATTTGGATAAGAACTCACACCCTGAAACCATGGGTCCACCCAATGTGTCACCGTCTTCAGCATGCTGCGGACTGGACGAGCTAAAGCAATCACTCGCCCAACTAATCCAGGAAGAGCAGGAGAGCAGGGGCTGGTACGGCGAAATGGTGAAGATCCTAAATCAGCTGGTGCAAGAAAACAAGGAGGTGGCCAGCGTTCAGGCTGAGATCCTGAAGGTCCTGCGGGCCGCGAGCGATCAGGGCGAGCAGCAGCTGCTCCACCTCCAGAGCATGGCTCGCCTTCAGAGCCTCCTCGTGGAGAACCACCAGGCATTGCTGCTGCAAGTGTCTCGCATTGCTACCACACTGCAGGATTCGGCTAAGAGACAGAGCCAATAAATGCATGGGCAAAATGAAGCATTTTGATGGCATATTATCCTTATACTAACAAAAAGGCACTCAATAATAGTAAAAAAAAAACATGAATCGTAATAACCTAGCTAAAATGACCTAAATCTGAAATCCTAATCAATAAGTGAAACGAAGTTGATGATTTGTGTTACTCTGTCGTATATAACATGTCACTCTTGGAAGTCTTGTTTTCTGGAACGATTTTTTGTACTGTTGTGTTTTATGGTTTATCTAACCTCTTGCATGATGAAATATCAATAAACAAGCTATTGATAACACCTTTGTTTGGCATCAAGGATTATTGCATTAATAAATCAGTCAATCCGTTTCATTGTTTACCTATGCACAGCATATTCCTATACGCACTTTTTCACTTTTCTTGAGCTTCTCTGCTCTTCTGTGTGTCTGAGCAGAGTTTCCCGCACGAGTGATAAAGCTGAACTCCTCTCCGCTGAGTCAATCTGAGGTGGTCTGGTCAGCTAACATACCCTTCATTCTGAGCTGTGACGGACAAGCCGATATCATATGGAAGACAAGGCTCAGGAAACACCAGAAACACGTCTCACGAAAGACCCTCAGTGTCAAAAAGCCCACTACAGAGTACACAGGAACATACCGTTGCAGTTACAAGAATCAAACAGACTTGTACTCAGAGATCCACATTTATGTTAAAGGTATGTGCACTATTAAACATTTAGAGCAATTGTCTAAAGGTCAGTGCTAATATATGTTTGGGACAGCCTGTGAAACAAATGTTTATTTTTGGTTTGCTTTTAGTTGTAATGTTTCTTTATAAAGTTTGACATGCTGAATACGGAAATCACATGGTACATGCATAAAACTGAGCTAACAACAACAGTTTAACATAAACAGTTACCAAAAGTGAGTCGGGCAAAACTTCAGAAGTGTCCGCTGGATGATGTTTGTCCCACAGTGTTCACAGTGTATTTTTACAGAATATTACAGAAACTTCTAGAATGTTCCCATCCTTGCAAAAGCAAAGCAAAAAAAAAAACTTATCTGTACTAAACCAATGCTTCATAATTAATAATACAAGTTTACCTGACCTAAATATTTACAAAAATACTGATGCAACATGAAAAGAAATATAGTACAATAATAATTAGCACCACAGAATTACAGAAGAACCATAAAAAATTTTTAGGGAAACAAATGTTTGTTACATTTCATTGCACAATAAATTTAGCATCATCCTGAAATGGCTTCATTTGTGATAATGGCCAGCTGACTATACATTATTGCATTTATTGCACAGTGACTAAAAATATTAGTAAATATTTTGTTTTGAGGTGGATTATTTTCAATTGCTTAAGCAGAAAGATGCAGTGTTACAAGAAACATGAAAGTACTGTATGTAAGAAATAGTTTGCCTGAGATAACATTCAAGATTGGAGTCATACAAAAATATTTCGCCTCAGAATGGTGCTACTGACCAATCACAATCGAGCATTGCAGAGAGCTGTGTAATAACCACATTTATTAACAGTGTTGGGGAAAGTTATTTTTAAAAGTAATGCATTACAACATTACGTTACTCCATTAAAAAGTAACTAATTGCGTTACTTAGTTACTTTTAATGGAAAATAATGCATTACGTTACTTTTGCATTACTTTTTGTCAGCTGAGCTGGGCTTGTTTATTTATTTTTAATAACAAAAATCCCCAAAGTTATATTTTTGGCAACTGTAAACGCCCTTTCACAACTAAAGTGAAATTAAGAAGGAAGTGCCTCTGCAGTCACTCCCAATTTCTCTCAATACGGGGACAGGAGATGTGTAAGCGAATAAATGGGAAAACAAAGTGTTACTTATTTTAAAAAGTAACTATTTTTCTTGTAAATTTATGTGTTAGTTTACTAGTTACTTGAAAAACGTAATCTGATTACGTAACTCGCGTAACTTGTATTGCATTACCACCAACACTGATTATTAACAGTAAGCACACACTTAGTACAAGAAACTGACTTTATGAACAAAACTGACATTAACGTGCAATGAATATGTAAACATGTTTGACATTTAATGAATCAAAATAGTTCGTTTACAGCATCTGCACTTAACTCTCAAGACGTACAAGCACAAAGAACATACTGGAAGTAAAAATATTGGCTGAAATATCTGTATGTTTTACTGCAATAGATTCTGTCAAAGCCTTTACTACCCCTCAAAGCCTAACAATAATTCAAAAAGAAGGCTCAAACTACTTGCTGGACTGCTTGGTGACAAACCCAGAAAGTGCTGAGTTCTCGCTCCAGATGGTGAATGGATCTGCGGTCCCATCCGAGATGAATTACACCGCGGATCCCAAACGTGGCATACTGATTCAAAACCTTCAGCCTAGCTACTGCGGAGATTATGTGTGTACTGTCAAAATGAACGGAGTCCAAAAGAAGTCTGACATCTTCCAAATAACTGTGATAGAACGTGAGTTGTGTTAGTGTCGTACACCGTTTTGTACAATTGTATTAATAAAAAATATACCAAGAATCTTATCTTATTCAGCACTACCCATCTATTTACTGCAGAAACACAACAGCCACCAGCGGTGTCACTTCCAACCAATCGGTACGTGCGAATTGTCGGTGAAACGCTGCATATCCCTTGCCACACCGAAAACCAAGATCATTCATATAACATCACCTGGAGCTCATCAGAAAAGGTGAAGTGATGTGTTTTGAGAATTTGATCTGATAGCAAACATGAAATAAAGTATGAGATTATTGATGAGGAACTGAATTAATTAGGCAATAGAGTGGGCATCATGGTATTTTTGGTCTTGAAAACTCTTGAAAATGTGGCCTTGGTCTGTTTTTCATTACACAGTGTATTGGTCTACATCTGAGTCTTGGCTTGTGGTCACAGATATGACTGCAGTCTGTTTTGAAATTCTAGCCAGTGGATCTCCATTGGTTTATTCTGAAGTGATACAATCATTTTGTATGATATTTTGCAAATCACTGGTCAGCTTGTGTATTCAGAGCCCACATTAAACCATCCCAAGTTCTGTTGCATTAAGGCCCTGATATACTCATGGCAAAGTTCTTTTTTGTTTTTCTCTTAGGGGTAAAGAGAAGTTCAAAATAACTTAGCAGCGAAATACTGTTAGCGAGCATACCGATGCCATCCGTACTGCTGAGAGGGGCGTTTGGATGAATATGTAAAGCTATGTGCTTTCCTCTCAATAACAAAATAAACGCAAAACAGAAATGACAGCAGTGGGAAAACAACAGCTAGGCAATTCGACAATTTACACTGGCAATTTGGCACTTTAGTAATGTCATGTTTATTTATGTAGTACTTTATAGAATGGATTGCTTTAAAGCAAGCAGCTTTAGGGTCAGTTCACACAGAACGCATTTTTCCATTCTAATGCACTGCTTTTCCATTGTTTTTCTGGAACGTGTATGACCGTTGCGCTCACATCTCACGTCTTTTGCAGCATCTTGCACATGAGCGCCGATAATCAATGTCAGTTCCAAAACAGTGGGCCAGTCAGAAGACCCCGGAGGCTGGGCAAGCGTTGCAACCTTTGTTTACAGTAGCAAGTTGGCATGGCAACTGTTTTATTCGACGGCAACATGGCGTAGGAGGCACTGTTATTTCTGTTATTGCATCATCTCTCAAAAGTGTCTCTCGAGACCCTCGCGTTCTGCACTGCACTTATTTTTGTTTAAAACCATTCCTGAGTGCTGCGTCTCGTGTCTTTAGACGCAAATACACGTTCTGTGTGAACGGCCCTTTAAGGTGGGTACTTTCCCATTGAGAATGGGCAACAAATTTCTGTCTGGATACTTTAGATCGTTCATGGGCCCTGTGTCTCACCTGGTTGCCCATTGCTCAGCAACATTGCTCAAAAAGTTGCACCGTGTATCATCACCTTTACAATATTAGTTGCCGTTCACAGAGAACACATCTTTGCATTTAAAAACACAAGACGCAGCACTTAAGAATGTTTTTTTTTTAAAAGTGCAGCGCAGAAGGCCTCCTCCGCCATGTTGCCATCAAATAAAACAGTTGACATGCCAACTTGCTACTGTAAGCTCACAACGCTTGCCCCGCCTCCGCGGTCTTCTGATTGGTCTGCTGTTTTGGAACTGACATTGATGAGCGGTGGTGTGTGTAAAAGTTGAAAATCTTTAGACTTGACACGGCATCTTAAAAATGCAGCACTCATGTGCGAAACACTGCAAAAGATGCAAGACACGAGCGCAACGGTCATACATGTCCGTCTAGTGCATTTACATAGAAAAACAATGGAAAAGTAACGCATTGGAATTGAAAAACGCATTCTGTGTGAACGGCCCCTTAAACATGAAATAAAAAGTGCCAGTGTTGTTTTCGAATTTTTCAATTTCTACTATAAAGAAGCTCTTCAGCGTGTTCATGCTTTTACTCGTGGACATCTGACCTCGACAAACTGAAAAGAAGAAATGAAGCACAGATGATTTCCATGTTAAAGAAGGTGGCGCAAGCTGCTTCGAACTCCTGAAATTAATTCCATATTGTTCAAAATTGTCACACCAGTTCGTTCTTTGATTTCACTTGAAATATATCAGGCCTTTGATGCCAGCATACTATAGCATTAATTAGCATTTTTACTTTTAAGTGGAATAACTCCCCAATTTGAATGAAATTCATGACATCTATCTTGCTGATCAGTACTGTAATTTTGAGCAAATGCTAATGAAAGATCATGCTTTCATACTGTCACACTTTTATTTCTTCAGATCGGACTTATTGTTAGCTTTACTGTGTGGTTTGTGTGGTAAAGTTCAGGTTTGACTGAGCATTGCTTTGGCAGTTTTTTATTTTTGTATTTTTATTTTTGGTTCTAAAAAAAATCATAACAATCACAGTCAGAGACATAACAATTAATGACAGTTTAAACTTTAGTTGCTTCTACAATGGCATGTAAATGGAGAGTTTCATGAATTTGTATTTTTTCAGGAGAATGTAATTTGTTGCAATTCATAAAGCAATGATTTTATACAGCACACACACACACTTTAGCATCAAATTTCAGTTCTTTTGTACTATTTTCAGATTAATTATTGCAGAATCTCTTACGGAGCAACTATTTCTGCTCACTATCAGTTTCAGTAGGCCTACTCTGACAATGCAGTTGCATATTGTATATCAGTCCATTATATATATACAGTATATATATAATAGCCTTATATATATATATATATATATATATATATATACTGTATAAAATTTCATTCGTTTTAATTTGACATTTTTATGATTTCATTCATTATTAGCTTTCATCAACACAATACAATTGTTTACATTAACCCCATGTAAATATATTTTCTTTTTCTTTGCACACACACATATATAATGCAAACACAAACTTTTATTTTGGATGCGATTAATCATGATTAATAGATTTGACAGCATTATTTTATTTTTTAAAATCAGTATGGTCCACAATAATTCCATTCAAGACCTTAAGATAAAGAAAACTAAGTAAAAATAATCAAAAAGTAGTCAAATTACATTACCCAATAAGTGTAATCCAGATTATGTTAACAACATGTAATTTAATTTGTAATCAATAAAGGACTACAATCTGTAAGTAATCTACCCAGCACTGGTCAAGATCTTGTCTGTGCTGTCCCTACACAAATGTGAAGGTCCTGGACTTGTAACTCAGTGCTGGCCAAGTTCAGCTATGTGTAATGTTACAGATTCTTCAACTTTGATAAACGGGCAAATATTAGAGGTGGTGAATTGAGACGGGAGGTCTAGATAGGGATAGCTAATATGTACCCTGTTGAAAAAAACAGCATATGCTGGTTCAGTATGTTTTGAAGCATGGCAGCTGGATTGAGCTGGTTATAAGATGGTTATGAGGTGGTCCTGAGCAGGAGCTAGTTGCTTAGGACCAGCTTAGGGACCAGCACATGACCAGCTTAAACCAGCTCATAACCATCTTATAACCAGCTCAGGATCAGCTTAAACCAGGTCATGGCCAACTAAGGACCAGCTTAAACCTGCTCAAACCAGCTGCCATGCTTCAAAACATACCTAACCAGCTGTTTTTTTCAACAGGGCAGGTCAAGATTTTGTAATCGAACCAACTGACAAAGGCCAAATCTCACTCATTAGGTGTTACAAGACAAACCACAATCACAAAATGAATGAATCAATTCATAATATTCACTCCGACTTCTATCAATTTGCTAACTGTATAAAATCACAGTATGTTTGTCTAACAGACTCGAAACTAAACTCTCACTGTTCTAGAACCAGACCAAGACTAGACCCCTTGAGGATCTAGACCAAGACATAACCCCAAGAACCATAAGCATTACAAAATATTAAAAGTTTTCTAGCTTGTACATTTTTTATAAGAAAATCCCTGAAACAAATGATTGATGCTATGCAGGCCGCAGCAAAAGATGCAGGATTATGAGTGTTTTCCCTGAAAGCGCTGTGGGTTGTGCCAACCATTTGTTTCAGTAATTTTCTTATAAAGGCATACAGTATAGTCCTGCATGTTTTCAATTCAAAGCCAGGCTGTTCAGTTCCTCTGAATCCATTTCAGTTCCTGATTGTCTGTAAATATGATGCCAGATTGTTTTGAATGCATACTAGAATGTTTAATTTGAGAACTTGTTAACATGATTTGTCCTAATCAGGTACTGAATTATAAAACAAACAGAGACAAAGGATGTGAACAAATTTGCTTCATTAGTCTTTTAACCATTCATCAAGTAAACATGTCCGACGCAGGGAATTTAACCTGCACTGGCCAAAATCGAGCAGGAAAAAACAGTGTGACAGCAGTTCTCAAAGTTGTAGGTAGGTTTCTTCATGTTGTAGAGTGATTTTATTTAGGCTTTATTTGTGAAATTGTGTTTAAGCTGTGGTCTTGGTGTCTTCTTTCAGATAAACCGTACATTCAGCTTAAACCCATCCTGCCCTCTGAATACAAGGTGAATGGAACAGATATTGAGGTGATGCAAAGGGATAAGGTTGAACTTGCTGTGCAAATTGAAGCATATCCGGACGTTAAACGGACATGTTGGAAAACTCCCAAATCGAATCACACGCACGAGGAGACATTTAACAGGATTAATAATAGGTGAGTTCATTTGTTTCTGTTCTTAGAATTATTTTTATTATCCGAATCTAGATCCATTCCAGGCTACATGTGGGTAACTTTTGATGCAATCGACGCCTTTTGCAGAACTCGTTCTTTTCCCTTTTCCCAACACATATCAGATCGGAAAGGTGTTTACTTTCAATAAAAATGAAGGAAATATTCGAAAAGTGCAAAATAAAGTACCTCACGGGTATTAAATAATAAAGTGTTGATCGGTGGGTTTAGGGGTAGGTGTAGAGAGAGCTTTATTGTCCCAATAAGGTGAATTTGGATAAATATATAGTTCAGTCATGAAACTCTAGATGGCGCTTTCTGACGGGGTGTTAACCCTCCACCTTGGCACAATCTGATTGGTTCATGCTGCATATGCAGCCAATGAGCTTACTGCCTTGCATTTATATGGCTGGCTAGTATTCACTTGAGATTCCTGCAGCGCGCATTCAGAGTTCTCTGAAACCCTCCACCTTCGCCAGCTCCACCTGTATAGATCTGCTACGGGGTTATTTTGTATGCTATTTGTGCAGCAGCAGTATGTCTTAAATACTCATGGCACCGCATCGCCATATGCATTGGCAGTAGCAAGTTCCTGTACTTGCTTGCAGCAGCAGCAATAATCTACAACTACAGCAATAATCGACAGCAGCAGCAATTCAGCAGCAGCGTAGCAGATCTGTTCCGCCAATACCAAATACATTAACATATCCATCACCATGCTAAAATGTTCCGAGAGTTGTCATGATTGAAATATGATAATTTACACTCAATGTTGTTACTGCATAATGTTTTATAATGTACTACAATACTGAGGTGCAAATAAATGCAAAGTAGCATCTAACTACTATTTACACTTATTGCAAAGAAAATACTGTTATTTTTACACAGAATCTATCGTTATTTGCACTTAGTGTAATTAGCATATCGCTAAGAAAATACTTCTGTTGCCCCTTAGTGCAAATAGCCGCTGCTGAAATTTTTTCATGCACCGTGTACATGCACACTAGTATGCGTAAAAACCGAAGTTTAGGCTTTAAGGTTCACTGAATCATTCACTGAGTGCTGACCTTGTTTCCTAAAAGGATTGATCTTAGATGTGAAGTGCAGTTTTACAAATGTTAATTTTTTTCATGTGCTTCCCAGAATTCACAAATTCATTTATTTATTCATTTGTTTATTTTATGCCTTTATTATTATTTTGGATTACAGATGGCATTGATTGTGTTAAATAAGCATGTTAAGTGTAATTTCACTATTAAGTGGAAGGCAGGCTGGGCCAAAAGTCTTTAAATGGAACACATGAAAATTGACAGTCAACACACACTGTTTGTTCGCCCTAACGCAGCAATTTTTAATGCGCTTCTTTGGTATGTGCAGACAAACATATTCTGCCCTTATGGTATCAGTTTATTTAGTACATGTAAAGACGCACAGTTTTACCATGTTAATACCATGTTAAATTTGAACATCTCTCAACATGTACACATTCTGGTTGAACACTGAACGTGTTCGAACATGTAATACTTTTTAAAGCTGATTTACCTCTAAATTTACCCATATTAATCCTTTTTTAGTTTACTGCAGCATTGCTTTACTGATATATACTGTGCTAGAGTAAACTAATTAATGTTACAATGTAAATTAAGACTTTTCTACCTAAGAATGTTAAACTAAACAACTAAAAATGACATGAGACTGACATCACACACAACATAAAAATGCATTATCTCTTATGAACAAATATAACGTCTGATGTTAGAATACGTGCATTCTAGTGTTCCATTACAACGTCCTTTATGAACAAATATAACGTCTGATGTTAGCATACGTACATTCTAGTGTTCCATTACAACGTCCTTTATGAATAAACATGACGTCTGATGTTTTTATACGTATATACCAATGTGTCATTGTGTCAAATATAGTCTCAAATACAGCAACTTCATTGGCCGCTGTGTGTGTTCTCACGTTAACTTGGACAAAACAGTGTGTGTTGATGGTCAAATTTCACGAGTTACATTTAAATACTTTTAGCACTTGCCACCTTCCATAGGTGTCTGCAGAAATCCATCTCCTTATGATGCTCTTACTCCAGAGCACTCGTAAATCTACAACCATTTTTAAGCACTAGTTAAGTTGCGATAGCTTTGGGAAACGGAAGCAAAAATAAGATGAATCATAAGATGATTCAGTGATCTACTTACACTTAAAATACTTTTGGGAAATGAGTACCAGAATCATTTATGTATTAAACGAGAGCACCTCTATTTTAAGTGACAATAATCATGGGTTCATATTTAACAGTGACAACTATATGTCCACAATCATGCTGAGAATAGTTGGAGTACAAGATAATGGTCACTACATCTTCACGGCCAGGAGTGCCAGTGTCAATGCCTCAATTATTTTTACAGTTCATGTCTACCGTAAGTCCAGTTGCTTAATAGAGAACATATTAATCTCATAAATGAACAAAAATGTGGTTTGATCATGTTTTCTTTCCAACATACAGAGAAGCCCAATACTTTGATTAAGTGGGAAAATGGAATTGCCACTTGTGTGGCAACCGGTTATCCAATACCCAGGATTCAGTGGTTCCAGTGTGAAGATATCAGAGCTATGTAGGTGTCATTTTTTGGAACTTAGATCACATATACAGTATATATAGCGGTCAAAGACAAAAAGAGGTTTTCAAGCATCAAAACAATGATTTTGAAATTTAACACAGCTTTAAATTTAGTTAACCCCACCCCCTATACACTAGAACGTATGGAAGCCCGTTTCCGCCACTAAATAAAAAAAGGTTATTGTGACTTTTTATCTTACAATTCTGACTTTTTTTTTCACAGAATTGTGAGATATAAACTCGCAATTGCGAATTATAAAGTCAGAACTATGGGATATATACTCGCAATTGCGAGAAATAAATTCAGAATAGCGAGATATACCTCGCAACTGACTTTTTTCTTGTAATTCTGACTACTTTTATCAGAATTGTGAGAAATAAACTCGCAAATGCAATTTTTTCCAATTATGAGGGGAAAAAAAACACTAATTTCTTACAATTGCAGGTTAATATCTTGCGATTTACTTTTTTCTTCGCAATTTGGACTTCTTTTCTAATAAAGCAATTCTGACTTTATAACATGCAATTGAGAAAAGTCAGAACTGTGAGATAAAAATTTGCAATTACCTTTTTTTTTTTTTTTTATTCAGG